TGAGTGCTCATTTTGTTGATAGCATTACAAAGCAAATTGAGTGTGTCTTCTGTGAAAAGACTCGTTAATTAAAATATGTATCGCAGTATAGCTTAGTATTTTATAGGATCCGGAGAGGATCCCCTCATGTATTGATAACTAATTTTCTACTGTTAAGGTAGGACCAACGGTCAATGGCAGGGCATGAAACTTGTTAAAGAGAAATGGCTCTGCTGCCGCTGCCCTGTCTTCCCAGCCCATGGGAGATACTGACAGCCAGTCACACATGGAACATGGGGCTTATCTCATTCACTCTCTGTCACGTTGTCACCATTGGTCATGGTTGGTGTGTGAATTGAAAACCACGTATTGTACTTGTGGCAAAGATCATTTTTCCTTTTTAAAGATTTATTTATTTTATTTGAAAGGCAGAGTTACAGAGAGGCAGAAGGGGAGGGAGAGAGGTAGGTGTCTTCCATCCACTGGTTCATTCTCCTGATGGCTGCAATGGCTGGAGCTGGGCTGATCCAAAGTCAGGATCCACGTGCTTCGTCCAGGTCTCCCATGTGGGTGTAGGGGCCCAAGAACCTGGACCACCTTCCACTGCTTTCCTAGGCCATGGCAGAGAGCTGGATGGGGAGTGGAGCAGCCAGGGCTTGAAACAGTGTCCACATGGGATGCTGGTTCTGCAGGTGATGGCTTTACCCACTATGCGACAGCACCAGTCCCTTTTTTTCTTGTTTCTAAAACGAATTTGTTTGAAATGGAGAGAAAGAGAGCACTCACATCCACTTGTTTGCTTCCCAAATGCTGGCACCTGCTGAGCGCTGGCCAGACCCAAGCCAGGACCCCATAACTCAATCCAGGTCCCACAGTAGGTAGCAGGGCCCACCTACTGAGCCGTCACCTGCTGCCTTTCACAGAAGCTGGGCTTGTGATTGGAGCTGGGACTGAAACCCAGACACCCTGGTATGGCCATGGACATTCCATGAACATTTTAATTCCCACCCAAGGTTAATGGTTTTGACAGAATCATAAGAACTTTTTTTTTTTTAAAAGTGTATTTCCATGAACTTCTAATTTCTAAACCATCTTTTAAGCAGAGTAAGTACTTTAATTTTTTAATTTTAATTTTCAATTAGTTTTTAACAGATTCAACTTGATTTGTAGATATTCTAAGAACATAATGGTATTCCCTTTACGGCAATGTAAAGTCTAATGAGCAGTCTTGCAATCTGCTGTAGCAACCCTGCAGTCCTGAAAAGATCAGTCCTGTGGGTTGGTCCACATGGTTCAGGGAACTCACTGTGCCCTGGGCTTGTCAGGTAACTGTGTAAGTGTGCAGGTTAAAAGTGTGGGACTCAAGCCGGCATCTTCTCTCAATCATGTCCATACCCTAAGAGGTCACCGTGCTTTGAATTTGTCCTTCATAGTCTGTTCTCAATGTAGCAGCTAGAATGGCCACTTGGCTGGCGCCGCGGCTCACTAGGCTAATCCTCCGCCTTGTGGCGCCGGCACACCGGGTTCTAGTCCCGGTCGGGGCGCCAGATTCTGTCCCGGTTGCCCCTCTTCCAGGCTAGCTCTCTGCTGTGGCCCGGGAGTGCAGTGAAGAATGGCCCAAATGCTTGGGACCTGCACCCCCCAGGAGAAGTACCTGGCTCCTGCCATCGGATCAGTGTGGTGCGCCGGCCACAGCGCGCCAGCCACGGCGGCCATTGGAGGGTGAACCAATGGCAAAGGAAGACCTTTCTCTCTGTCTCTCTCTCTCACTGTCCACTCTGCCTGTCAATAAATAAATAAATAAATAAGAATGGCCACTTAATATGTCCTATGTAATGTCATGATTTTCTGCAAGATCTTCCAATAGCTTCCTCACATCAGAGAGAGAGAGAGAGAGAGAGGCCTAGAATGGTCTCAGGGTCTCTGGTCCTTCTGAGGTCCTGCTACATGGGGGAACCACTTCTAGCAGATGAGAAGGAAGTGAGCATTCAGAGAAAGGCAGAAAGCGTGCAATTAAGGGCATAGGAGGAGAGAGATGGATGAGGATGGCAAGATGGTGACTTGGCTGGACCAGGTGCCTTATGGTTGGCATGATTAACCACCTGCCGGTCAGCTCAGTGTCACCAGCTGTCCACTGCCTGCGTGTCTCCTACACAGTTGTGGAAGAACTGGAGATTGCTTGGTGGTGTCTCAGTGAACACAGGACTTTGAGCAGTTAGGAGCGCTTGTATTAGTGACATACATGGAAATCATGAGAATTCATACAGTGACTTTCTGTCTTTTGTGCTCACACAATTTTCAGTCTTTTATGTTTAGTTTTTGTGTTGAGCTTTCAGTACCCCACCCCACCACAAAGCAGAAAGGACTTATGATCAGTGTCATGCTCCAACTCTTACCCCTCTGACACATCCGGATGAACCGTGCCTGAAGTTTAGAATTTCATGAGTGCATGGCAACTTAGTGGGAATATGTTTTTAACAACTTAAATTTTATTATTATTATTTTTTACTTATTTGAGAGTGAGAGCAAGAGAGAGAGAGTTTCCATATGCTGGTTCACTCGCTAAATAGTCACAATGACTAGAGCTGGAGCCGGGAGCCAGGGTTACAATTCAGATTTCCTATGTGGGTGGAAGGAGTCCAACTACTGGAACCATCACTGTGCCTCCCTGCATTTGTGTTGGTGCCAGGCATTCTGGTGTGGTGTGGTAACTACTAACTAAATGCTGCTCTCCTTTGAAATTTTTTGGTTTATTGTGTGATAATTTTGATTCACTGAAGCACTCAGAACGTAGTACTGGGTCACCATTTGGCCAACCTCATTTTCCTCTATTGTTAACACAGAAACAGAGAGATCAGGACCTGGTTCACGTCCCAGATTCTGGGGAACTAACTGTGGGAGTAGGGAACTGTGTCCAGGTCTCCCACGTGGGTAGCAGGAACTCGATTCCATGAGCCGTCACTGTGCCTCCGCAGAGGTCTGCATCTGTGGGGAGCTGGAATGAGGAGCCTGGCCTGGGCGTCCAAGTCAGGAAGTCTGATGCCAGAGGCAGCCATCCTTACCGTGGATTAACTCCCAGCACAGTAAGGGAATCCGCCTCTCCTATGCTACTGACGGATTCTTTTACTACTCATGGCCACCACCAAGGGGGTGTTTAATTATTAATAAATAAATGGTCCTACCTGAGCCTCTGCTTAAAAGGTACATTGAGGCCACCCTTAGAGTCCCCTGAGTGGGCTGCTCTGGCTTTAAGACATTCTCCCTTTGTAAAGCAGATTGCAGACTCTGTAACTTAACTGTCCTAATTCTGAGCAAGACTAGCTTGGCTGACGTCCCATGTGGACTTTCAGTGACTTCTGCGTCGTGCTTCTTGATGGAACGCCTCCCTTTCCCCCAGCTGTTACCAATATGACCTGGTTTCTATTCTGGAGAGTCTCCTTTGGGCGACCTCTCTGTCTCCTCATTGTCCCACTTACAGCTTCACATCCAGATTGAATTGTGGGTCAGTCGTTCGTGGGGTTGTGACGCTGTGTTTCAGACACCTTATTTCTGCTACCTGTGACAGTGTGTCTTGTTTGATGGCGTTTTGAGGTTTAATTTCCATATGAAAAAATACCACGTCATCATCTTGCTGTGTAAATCAGCTTGCTTACTTTATTTCTTCGAATACTGTGTAACAATATAACAAATTTCCTGATTGCAGTCTTTCTTTTACTGATTTGCAAGAGGAGGGGCCAGAAATCCTCACGGTGAGATGACTGAGCCTGGAAAATCCTCTTTTGACTATTATTATTTTTGCTTTGCTGAGAGAAGAGTATTTGTTATTGTCTTTTTTCAAATTCAATTTCATAAGCCAATTCAATAAGCAGTTATTTTTCTAGGCCAGCGGGGCTAAAAATATTCCCCAGTCCACCGCCTCACAACATCTCTCTGATTTTAATGAACTCAGACAGAGAAAAAAATCAAGAAAACAAAAGCATTACGCATTTCATCAACTGAGTTTTGCACATAGTTACTAGCTATCCTCGGAGGATCTGCCACCTGCTGGTTCTTAGGAAAACCATTGGATATTACCAAGGTCCCTATAGGATTCCAATACACCCTACTCATCCATTCATTCCACCATTTCATCATATATATATATAATAGGTAACAATATATATAAAGTTCACACTCCAGTGGAATAGGCAGATACTTAAAGACTTCTGAGAACAAAGAGTTTCCATAATGCAGCAGGCTCCACAGTCAGTGAAGGCAATGTCATTTTGGCAAGAGATCCTTACATTAAATTTATGCCTCATAAAATGTCCCACCCTTTTAGAATTCTTTTACATCTCAGTATTTTGGTCATAAAATTCCGTTTGCCTGAATGGCTCTCTCTTACCTGTCACTCATAAATCTGCCTGACGACTTGACTCCTCTCCTGTTGATGGGACTTCAATTTCTCTCCTTTGGAAGTCGTTATGGGACTTTAGCCTTCCCACCTTTGTGCTTCCTTTGCACTACAGGATTTTTACCTCATAGCATTTATAATGTTGCATTGTAGTGATTTACGACATTGTCTTACTCTACTGGGCTGTAAGTTCCTTCCAGATAGTTCCATGTCATATAGCTTGCGGTAGAAACCCCAACTTACTGTGAGGTGAGTGGGATGCCCACCATAGTGCTCACTTTAATAACTAAGACCCAAGTATATAGATGAATATATAGAACTGTTTTTGCAAAACATACAGGATAAAGAATTTCCTACATAAAACAATTCAAGGGATCTGTGAATTTCTATAGAAAAACATACATATTTATTTTTACTAGATTCTAACTGAATTTGTCATTTCTTTCCATTATGAATTAAGTGACAAACCATTAGCAGTAGTATTAGCAGTAGTTGTAGCTTTGCACTGATAGAAATGACAGATAATTTCATATTTTATTGAAGGTGTCATTTTAAAATCTTGTTTATGCTTGATTCCATTTATAATTATTATTTACCCATTAATAGGTCTTGTTAATATTTTTTTTTAAAATGTAGATAGATGTAGAGACAGGCTTCAAGATGAACGGAAAACAACCCATCCGGATTTCCTTTGCTCACACTGTGGTACCATCCTTCCCCACACCAGCACAGAACATCAGGGAAAAGGTCTTATTATTTAATACATCAGTAAAAAGCAGCCATATTAGTGCTGATTGAATTTGTTTCTTTAGCATTTTTAAAATATTTTTCTTATTTATTTGAGAGGTAGAGTTATGGCAGAGAGAGAGACAGAGACAGAGATAAAGGTCTTTCATCCACTGGTTCATTCCCCAAATGGCTGCACCACAGGAGCTGAACCAATCAGAAGCCAGGATCCAGGAGCTTCTTCTGGGTCTCCCATGCGGATGCAGGGACCCAAGCACTTGCTCCAACTTCTACTGCTTTCCCAGGCCACTAGCAGGGAGCTGGATCGGAAGTGGAGCAGCCAGGACTTGAACTGGCGCCCATATGGGATGCTGGTGCCCATGGTGGAGGCTTTTACTATGTCACAGCACTGGCCCCTCTTTAGCATTTTGATAACTATATTTTAATGTAACCTTTTTTTGTAATCCTATGTGTTTTATTTTATATTTAACATTTTTATTGTGAGAAAGAGATCCATAGGCTTAAATAGGTTGAAGAATTTTTTTTATAGCGCATGGAATGATATGTGCATTTAGGAAACTATTTTGATAAAAATTCAATGAGGAAGGAAGGGCTGGCGCTGTGTCTCAGTGGGTTAAGCTGCCACCTGAAGCACTGGCATCCCATATAGGCACCAGTTTGTGTCCCGGCTGCTCCACTTCCAATTCAATTCCCTGGTAATGCACCTGGGAAAGCAGCTGAAACTGGCCCAAGTGCTTGGGCCCCTGTACCCATGTGGGAGACCCAGAAGAAGCTCCTGGCTCCTGGCTTCAGCCTGGCCCAGCACTAACCTTTGCTGCCATTTGGGGAGTGAACCAAGGGGTGGAAAATACCTGTCTGTCTGTCTGTCTCTCTCTCTCTCTCTGCCTTTCTCTGTCTCTCTCTGTGACTCTGCCTTTCAAATAAATAAATACATCTTTTTTTTTTAATTTTTTTTTTATTTTTTTGACAGGCAGAGTGGACAGTGAGAGAGAGAGACAGAGAGAAAGGTCTTCCTTTGCTGTTGGTTCACCCTCCAATGGTGCCCTGCGGCCGGCGCACCGCACTGAGCTGATGGCAGGAGCCAGGAGCCAGGTGCTTTTCCTGGTCTCCCATGGGGTGCAGGGCCCAAGCACCTGGGCCATCCTCCACTGCACTCCCGGGCCACAGCAGAGAGCTGGACTGGAAGAGAAGCCACTGGGACAGAATCCGGCGCCCCGACCGGGACTAGAACCCGGTGTGCCGGCGCCGCTAGGCGGAGGATTAGCCTAGTGAGCCGCGGCGCCGGCCAATAAATACATCTTTAAACAAAACCCAGTGAGGAAGCTGACCATTATGTCAAGGCAACCAAACTCAGTGTTCATGCCTTTTCTATCTGACATTTTCAGGACCTAGTCTTTTATACTCTTGAGATTTGCTGTGTTCATATTTATCCACTATCCCTCCAAAGAATAAGTCTGATCTCAGTCATTCATCTTTGGTGGCAAATTCATTACTACTGGGTGCATAGTCTACCCTGGGAGTCATTCAAAGAAGTTTACTTTCCATGGTGATTGGATTTGCACCTTAGATGCTGCCACCATTTGAAGTGAGTTTTTTAAAAAGAGTTCACAGTTGAACAATACCCTATACCTGGTTTGGTTGTGTGAGTGCAACCTGTTGAAATCCCTGCTTAGAATATACTAAGTTGATCTTCAGTATATGAAGGTGATTGAAAATGAAACGTGATGAAGGGCGGGATGGGAGAGGGAGTGGTGAGTGGAGGGCCACGGGAGGGAGGGAGGTCGGGGGGAAGCCACAACAATACAAAAGATGCATTTTATATTCTACTTAAAACTATTGGTTGAGCTCTGTAATTAATACACAATTACTCTTAGGTGTTTAATTAATGCTATAACTAGTACTCAAATAGTATTTTACACTTCGTGTTTCTGTGTGGGAGCAAAATGTGGAAATCTTTACTTAACATACGCTAAATTGATCTTCTGTATATAAAGATAATTGAAAATTAATCATGATGTGAAGGGGAAGGGGAGAGGGAGTGGGAGAAGGGAGCGTTGTGGATGGGAGGGAAGATACAGGGGGGAGGAGGCTATTGTGGTCCATAAGCTGTACTTTGGAAATTTATGTTCATTAAAAAAAAAAAAAAGTTCACGCTCTCTCTCACCCTTTCAAATAAATAAATACATCTTAAAAATCTCACTCACAGTTTTTTAGAGATGCCATGTTTCCTGTTTGCTTACTCTCAACACTTGACTCTCTTATTTTTAAAAATTTATGGGGGCCGGTGCTGTGGCGTAGCAGGTAAAGCCACCGCCTGCAGTGCCAGCATCCCAATATGGGTGCCGGTTTGGATTCCAGCTGCTCTACTTCCCATCCAGCTCTCTGCTGTGGCCTGGGAAAGCAGTTGAAGGTGGCCCAAGCTCCTACACCCATGTGGGAGACCCAGAAGAAGCTCCCGGCTCCTGATTTTGGATGGGTGCAGCTCTGGCCGTTATGGCCGATTGGGGAATTTACCAGTGAATGGAAGACCTCTCTCTCTGCCCTCCTTCTCTCTCTGTGTAACTCTGACTTTCAAATAAATACATAAATCTTTTTTGAAGTTCAGAATTTCAGCTATAGGAACAGAGAGAGACAGAGAGAGAAAGAAAAGAGAGCTAGAGAGATCTTCCTTCTGTTGGTTCACTCCCCCAGTTACTGCAATGACCAGTTCTGTGCTGGCTGAAACCAGGAGCTGGGAGCTTCATCTGGGTCTCCCACATGGGTGGCATGGACCCAAATACTTAGGCCATTTTCTGCTGCTTTTCATAGGCTGTTACCAGGGAGCTGGAATGGAAGGGGAACAGCCAAGACATGACCCTGTGTCCATATGGAGTGCCAGCATCACAGGCAGTGGCTGTACCAGCTGTACTACATTACCTAACACCCAAATCCTGCTCTCTTTTTTCAAAAATATTTATTTTATTTGAAAGACAGAATTACAGAGAGAGAGAAAGAGAAAAAGAGACATCTTCCACTACCTGGCTAATTCTCCAGATGCCATAACGGTCAGGGCTGGACCTGACTGAAGCCAGGAGCCAGATTTATCCAGGTCTTTCATGTGGATTCAGGGGCCCCAGTACTTGGGGCATCTTCTGCTGCCCTCCCAAGTGCATCAGCAGAGAGCTGGATCAGAAGTGGAGCAGAGGAAACCGAATCCAGTGACCATAGCAGATGCTGGCGTTGCCAGCAATGGCTTAACCTGCTATACCAGAACCCGGGGCCCTGGGCGCTAGACTATTGATTAGCATCCAGTTAGGAACCCTGTGGCCAAGGTTGTCAAATACAGTAACTTTAAGACAAGAATTTATGGAAAATGGAAGAATGCAGTAAGACACGTGAACTGAAACATGTGAATCTGAGATGAAATAGAACAAGGTTTTAAGAGTTGCGAGAAGCTGAGAGAAGACCTCGTCCTTTACCAAGAAATGATCAAGTTATTGGATGTAGAATTCAGCACCGAACTTCATCTCCACCTCTTAAAAACACAGCTCTACTGAGGCATAGATGACGTGAAATCAGCTGCACATACTTAAAAAGTGTAGAATTTAGTAAATTTTAAGAATACCTTGAACCTGTTAAGCTTCATGGCCTGTGTAACCTTTTTGCCTTGATCCTCACTGCTGGTCCAGATCTGTCCCAGGCGAACACTGTTCTATTTTCTACCACTGTAGATTAGTTTTAATTTTCTAGAATTTTGTATAAATGGAATCATACAATTTGTTCACTTTTTGACTTGGCCTTCCAACACAACAAAATTATCTTGAGATTCATAGAAATGGTTGCATATACCAAAAGTCCATTTAAAATATTTTTAGATTTTTAAAAAAATTTTAGTTAAGGTATACAAATTCCTTGTATTTCATATATACAGATTTAGGAACATAGTGATACTTCCCACCCCACCCGCCCTCCCACCCACATTCCCTCATTTCCTCCTCCTTCCTCTCTTATTCCCTCTCTTAATTTTTACAAAGATCTACTGATGAGCAGTATTGCGATATAGTACTGTATTGAAATTTATCATCTCAGCGGTTGACAGATCTTTGGATTACTTCTGCTGCTTTCTGGGATGCATTAGCTGGGAGCTGGATTAGAAGTCAGCAACTGGGCTCAAAGTGGCACTCACATGGGAGGCCAGCATCACAGGCAGCAGTTTAACCTGCTGCACCCACATGCCTGCTGCTATGGTAAAGTTCCCATTCAGCTTGCCCGTTTTTACGTGGTATTTAATTTTAGTTTTAATTACTTTTTTTGGTCCTTGTGATTGACTTTTGAGAGTTCTTTATACACACACACACACACATATATATTACACACACATATAAGATTTATTTATTTATTTATTTGAAACTAAGTGTTGTGGGGCTGGATTGGGGAGGGATATGGTCCATCTGCTGGTTCACTCCCAAGATAGCTACAATGGCTGGGGCTGGGCCAAGCTGAAGCCAGGAGCCAGGAACTTCATCCAGGTCTCCCACATGAGTAGCAGGGGCTCAAGCACTTGGGACATTTTCCACTGCATTCCCAGGCACATTAGAAAGGATCAGGATGGAAGTGGGGCATCCAGAATTTGAACCAGCAGCCATAGGGATGCTAGCGTTGTAGGCAGTGGCTTTCCCTGTAAGGTCAAAATGCTAGCCCCTTTTTATATATTTTGAATTCAAATTCTTTGTGTGGTATGTAGTCTGCAATACTTGCTTCCGCTTTGTTATTCTCTGTAGATCTTTGGGGTTCTTTTCCCCATTAGCTTTCTTCTCGAGGGCTCTGTCCTGGGCGTAGGGGCTGCCTTGCTAACTCCACAAGTTCACCAGGCCCAGTATCAGCTCCCCCACTTTGTACCATGGTCAGGAAATCCACCTGAAGCAGTAACATAGGCAGCTGTAGAGCTCTTTTGAATTGTTTCCATTTTGTAGGTGTTACTGCTCTCCTTTGCCTGTTGTTCCCTGTCCTAAAAACTGTCTTTTCACATTAAAATATT